GATGAGTTCCTGGTCAGGCACTGTGGCTGAGGCTCGCGGCCCGGGTTCTGGGCGGACAGTGAGAACCCAGCTCGGAGGCAGGACACTTGCTGCGTGGGCAGGGTCAGAGGTGGGCCGCAAAACAAGACCATGCGGGCAGGAATCCCCGCCCCAGCAGGCTCTGTGGACCGCAGGGGCCACGTGGGTGGGGTCGACCTCGGTGTGGAAAGTGGGATCCAGGCGTAATCCCGAGGCTCGGACTAACGAGCATGCTAGGAGGGGCCGGTGCTCACTGCGTGTGGGCGGGGCTTAGTCGTGGGCGGGTCTCCCCGCCGCGGGAGGCAGCGCGCGCACCTTGCACTTTCGGGTACTTCGTTAGCAGGAGGAAGGCGTAGGTCAGAGTGGTGACTATGGTCTGGGTGCCGCCAAAGAGCAGGTTGTGTGTGGTCATCAGCAGGGTATCCATATGGAAGTGGCTCTGCGGGTCCTGCTTCTCCTACGGGGGTAAAGGGATGTCAGGATATAAGTCAAGACTTGGAGGTCCTGCCGCGACAGTGACCGCAGCCTCGGAGTCTGTGCGCCCCGTTCTCCCCAGATCTGCGCAGTTGCCGCTGGGCGCCAGCTCATGGCCTCCTCTTTTTAACTTCTTTTTCCTCGGAGGAGCTGGGGAGCGCGGGAGGGCGGGGCTCACAACAAGCAGATCCTCAATGACTTCCTCATGAGCTGGTAATTGGTAGTGGCCTCGAATGGCTCCGGGCTCCAGAGCGGCACACCAAGTGTTTCAGCTTCACTTCCCAGATGTGGGGAGATTATATTCAAACCCACTCAACCCGGGGTCTTTGTTGGTGTGAGGCAGGGGCAGCAGGTCAGACCAGAGGTGGGACTTCCAGGCAGGGCCTACCTGTGCTATTTTGATGAGGAAGTAATCAATGAAATCCTGGGGAGAGCTGGGGTCGAGGGAGGCCTGATGGTCGCGGACGCTGCGGAAGATGAGGTCCTTCAAGCGCCCAAAGTTCCGGAAAAGGCGTTGGTGCGGCCCGGGCAACCAGTTCAGGAGGCTCGGAAAGAGGTGGTACCACTGAGGAAGGGGCAGAGTCGGAGGGGTTTGGAGGAGCTGGCAGGGTGCGTGCGACTGAGGATCAGGTGGGCAGGGGCGGGGTCTTGAGGGGCACTTAGGTTCTGAAGAGGCCGAGCAGGGACGGGGACTGTGTGTGTATGAGGAGACTCTGGAGAGGGGGCATAGATATGGATAGGCGGGGCTCTGTAACTCGGGGGTGGGGTCAGATGGGAAGAGGCGGGGCCAAATGGGCCATTGCAGTCCCGACCCCGCCCGCTGTTTTATATTTGAGGCTGTGTGGATCCCCCGCCCCCGCCTCCGTCACCCAAATAACTAGGTCTCCTGACCTCGCTCCAGCGGCTGCTCAGGATTTCTAAGCTGTCATTCATGAAGTGGATAATGGTGAGCAGACGTTCGTCGTCATAGTCGAAGCGTCTGCCGAAGACCACCGAGCAGATAATGTTGGACACTGAGCGGCTTAACACCGACGTGGGGTTTAAGGGCTCGCCTGAGGGTGAGACGCGGAAAAGGGTTATGGCTTTGATCTGGGTTTGTATCCCAGCTCAGCCACTTCCTGGGCACATGACTTAAACTTTCTGGGACTCAGCTTTGTCACCTGTAACAACTTCCTAGGCTTGTTGGGAGGGTGAAACTTATTGACAGATGTGAAGAGTTTATCACAGTGCCTGGTATCCAGTAAGCACTTTACAAATGGGCATGAGTGTGTTGAGTGTCGACTTTGGTGTCAGTAAGACGCAGGTTTAAATCTTGACTCCTCTACTTACTAGCTTTCTTTAAGCCTGTGACTCATCTGCAAAATGGATTGTTCCGACTTAAGGGACTTATGTGTGAAAATGTGCTTCGCACAGGGCCCCACACGTGCGAAGTCTTGAGGTCTTGAACCTCAAGAGCATCAGCATCATGATCACCCACTGCAGTTACACAAGGTGTGCTCAAAGTACCACACAGCGCAACAGAGCGGCCACCACATAACATTTCCTGCCACTGAATCCGAAGGAAACATAGCACCACAAGCTGACCACCAGGGGGCACTACTCTCATTATGCGCTAAGTGTGGAGCCTCCGGCTCCCACCCCTGCGATGGTATCTGGCAATCTGAGCCATTATAAAGGATAGTTGCAACTTGAGGGTATGAGCTGCATTCGGGAACTCTAACCTTCAGTTTTCCGCAGTTCTTCCAGCAAGAAGCTGACTTCCTTCAGGATGAGCTCTTCATTGCTCCTTTTCCTCATCCCTAAGTTCCGCAGAATCTGGAGAGAGAACTTCTTGAGGACTTTCCATCGCTCCCCGTTTGAAAAGGCGATGCCTGGCGAGAAGAGTAGGGGCCAGCTCAACCTACGACTTGTCTCTGAGACCACTGCCATCTCAGTCCCCTTTCCTGTTGTATACCAGAAGAGAGGCTATGAGTTTGCCCGTCCTCTGCCCGCCCCCACCCCCAACTCCCGGTAAGCCCTCCCTGACACTCCAGGCTGGGTCAGGTCAGGTGCCTTCTATGAGCTTCCATAGGACCCTGGCTTCTGTCACTAGAGTCCTGATTACTCTGCCTCTGTTTCCCGCATCACAGTCCTGACCATTCTGGGCTATCACTGTCTGGCGATGGGGCTATCTCCTTCACTCAAGTGTGAAGGCGGGGTGGGGGACTGTCCTTCTTACCTCTGTGTCACTAGCATTGTCCAGTGCAGCGCTTATCACAAGCTAGTGATTGCTTATTAATTAACGAATGTACGAAAAGGGAGAGAAGCAAGAAAAATGAACGAGACATTGGGAATTTATCCAGGAACAAGACAGACCCTGTCTCTTTTCTCCCTGGACCCAGGGTCTTTGCACAGGCTGGTCCTTCTTTCCACAACACTCTTCACCCCTTGTCTGCTCCTGGCAGGCCATCTTTATCTTTTAGATCTCAGGTTAGAGATCCCTTCCTCCAGGAAGCCTTCCCTGGACCTCCCTCCCTTGCTGGGTCTGGTGTTTCCTCTGGGTTCCCACAGCTCTCTGGGCTGACCCAGCCCTGACTATGACCCTGGGCTGCCTCAGTCTGGTGATGGGCTATGTCTCTCACTGGACTTGCAGCTACAGTAAGATAAGGTGTTGGATGTGTTGATCTCTGATTCCTTTGAAACTAGCAGAGAACTAGATGCTAAGGAAGAAAAAGCTAGAGTGTATTTCCTTGTGTTGTATGCATTATCTCACTGACCTCTCATAACAACCTTTTCATGTTAGCAGACTGAGGGTCAGAGAGGGGAGGACACTTGCCCATAGGTGCATAGCTAGTAAGTGTCAGAACCCTTCTGTTACCCTCTGTGCTCCATATGGAATAATTAAGTGGTAGCTATTTTTAGTAACAGGGGATGTATGTATCTAGATGTCTTCTGTGCAAAAGTAGCAAGGTGACTTTCTCACCTGCCCTGTCTCTATCTCCTTGCATCTGGTGTACCTGGACAGGGGAGGTCATAAGATCAAGCCCAGGGAAGGGGACATGAAAGAGGAAAGTGTACTCAGTACACAATAGGTGGTTTTTTTGTTTTTTGTTTTTTTTTTTTAAAACCAGAGCTCTTCAATTCCAAATCTTGGGGCATCTGGGACTCATCTAGTGAAGGGGCCAGGGGAGCCTGGGGATTCTTTAAGGGGAGAAGAATAATCCAGGATGCTGGTCTCTGGGACTCCCTTTTCAATCAGAGCAGCTTCCTTCCTTCCTTCCTTCCTTCCTTCCTTCCTTCCTTCCTTCCTTCCTTCCTTCCTTCCTTCCTTCCTTCCTTCCTTCCCTCTCTTTATTGCTTTCTTATCATTTATTCCTTCCGTCTCCTTCCTTCCTTCCTTCCTTCCTTCCTTCCTTCCTTCCTTCCTTCCTTCCTTCCTTCCTTCCCTCTCTTTATTGCTTTCTTATCATTTATTGGGCCTTGCCATATAACTTCCTTTGACTGAGATTAATGTTAAAAGAATAGAAAACTATAAGACTAGGTGATCTCCAAGCCTAAGGAGGACAGGATATTGAGATAGGATAAGGTTGTAGTTAATGATATAAGTTGTTGAATGACTGGGAATGGAGTTGAGTTTGGCTTGGGATGGGGATAGCCATGGGGCATGAGGGAGGACTGGTGATTGATGATAAATTGGTTTGAGGTTGATGATGGGGATGGAGTTGGGTAGAATGAGAAGAAATGGTAGACTGGGGTTGAGATTGAGCTTTGGGGATGGATAGGTATATGGTGGGGTTGTTTTGTGTTGGTAGCGGGATTCAGGTTGAAAATGGGAAATGGGTACTGAAGACTTCAGTAGGTGATCGAGACATTGAAGATGGGGCTGGAGCTGGGGGGAAAATGACAGTGGAGTTCAGTTTGACTAAAGGACTAGGGTGGGGTTGATCATATATTTTAGCACGGTGATTGGGAGAGAGTTCATAATGGGAATGGAGGTTGGGCGAGATACAGTCAGTATTGCAGGTGGAGATGGAGCTGAGGTTGAAATGGAGCACATGGAAGGAGGATGGGTGTGGATTGGGTCGAGGTGGATGTTGTGGGCTGGTACCAGATAATTTGGTCACGGACTCACATGGAGATTCGATGGTGTGGCTGGGATAGAGATAGGGATTGGGATGAGAATGGGGTTGGAGTTGGATGGAGATGGGGATTGGGCTGGAAGCACAATTCAAGAAGGTGGTGGGATCTGGAGGTGAGGAAAGCAGGGCAAACATCACCCTAGCCTCGCACTGCCTGGCTTCACCCTATCTGGTGTCGTCGATGAGATCAGAGGCCCTGAATGTCGCCAAAATTGAGAAGATACTCTTCTACTTTATCCCCTCCCTCAGTGTGGAGTGGGTGAGGGGTGGAGGAGATGGGGAGCAGGCTTACCATTGCCTTTAGTGAAGTTAAAAAAGCTGGGGTAGTGGCCGCGGCCACTGAATTCCTCCCCGTGGTTCACGAGGGCCTCTTTCACGGCTTGGTACCCGCTGAGGACCACCACCGGCCTGGTCCCCAGGTACACTGTGTACACTGGGCCATATTTCTTGCTCAGCTGGGAGGTAGGAAGACAGAGGTCACAGAGGGGTCTGGGGCCCTGGGACCCCTCCCTCTAGTCCTCCCCCTCCCCCAAACCTAGGCCCTTGCACCTTGGTGAGAGAGGTCATCATGTCTTTGGAACGAAACTGCAGCAGGTTTCCCAGGAATGGGAGGGGCATGGGGCCAGGGGGAAGCCGACTCTTGCCCCTTGAGCTGCGAGTCAGGAACAGACAGGTGAGAATCAGGAGCAGGAGCAAGATGGTTGTGCTTATACTGTCCATGGTGAAGGCAGTTGCAGGCATCTGGGGACAAAACAGGAGAGGGTCGGGCTGGGGAAGGAGTGGGATCTCTTTGCTTTTAATCTCCTTTTGGAACTTGACTTCCTTATGCCCTGGAAATGGGGGCACACAGAGAGAAGAAAGGAGGTACAGAGAGGCAGAGATAGGGAAAGGCCAAGGGACGGTGGGAGGGAAGGAAGGGGCAAGGGAGGGAAGGGAGAGAGAGAAAAGGGGACAGAGACAGTCGGAAAACAGGCGGAAGTAGTCAAAATACAGAGAGACGGTAAGAAAGACAGAAATGGGGATAGAGACAGCTGGAGAGGGGCGGAAAGTGAGAGAGAGTGAGAGAGAGACACTAAGAGAAACAGAGATACACATGGAGATAATGAAGGATGGAGAAAAACAGATATTTAAATGTGTATAGATGCCAAAGAATTGTTTGCAAAGATAACAATAAAGCAGATATTATGACTATAGACTGATGACTAATGGACTGAAAATTAAAAACATTCTTTAGAATAAGCATCACTATGTTATATTATCTGCACTGCTAGAAGTGCCTTCCTTCCACTGATGTAGTGGTTCCCCTTTCCTTCTCGCAAATATCCCTTACTTTTGTCTTGTAGTTGGAACACTATTTGGGTTTCTGCCTGAATCAGTGCTTCCTGAATAGCTATTCTTATTGATCTCAAATAAATGCTTGCTGTCTCTCACTTTGAGCTTTTATTTTTAGGTTAACGGAGTGACAGAATAGAGTGATACACAGACAGAGACATGCAGACAGAGAGAGAGAGAGAGAGAGATCAAGGAGGAGGGCAGTAGCAGAAACAGACGGAAAAGAATCAAGCGTCTGAAATAAGGGGTCACATTCCAGAGAACAAGGCCTGCTCAGTGAAGCACCAGTACAGAGACCCCAATGCCCAGCCCTGACCGGGACTAAATGAATGCACAGAGTTCCAGAGAGAGTCCTGGAAAGACAGACCCAGAGACCCAGGGAACCCCCAGAGGAGACGACTGGGGAGATCCCAGCCAGTCCAGCAACCTGTCTCTTGAGAGCCGCCCCTCCTGACCTTTTACCTGCTGCGCTTCGGGGGCAGCTGAGGTGTGTTCTGGAGCAGGCTGGTTCTGGCCACTCCAGAGGCGTGCCCTGCAACTTTAGGTGTGTGGGCAGTAAGAGCAGGACAGCTCTTAAATCATCCGTCCACACCCCCTTGCTTCCTTTTCTAGTTCTCCGGTGATTTCCAATCCCCTCCAATCTTCCTGCCTTGGCTTATGTGTATATGTACTGCGCGGCTCAT